CAACTAGGTTCATAAGAGAATGCTACTCATAAATGACATCTGAACTCTGAACGTTAGTTTCATGCCCATTTTGTTTTCAAAGATGTGGAAGCGTCTTAGTCAGCTACTTTCCTACCTGGAAATTGGAGCAAAGGTCAAAAAAGTTAGGACTCCCGGGTTTCATTAACATTTACCTGGTAGGGATCCTGAAGCTTTATTAATTAATGTTTGTAAAATCACTGTGTGCTTCATAGCGAAGGGGCTCCATTAAATTATAGTCTTATTTACTGTTCTGGAAATTAAGGGTCTATTGAGATACACAAAGTATTTTTTCATGTATTATTTTAAAGGTTTTTTTCTCCCTTTGCCATATGTACTTTACCAAGATAAAAAGAAAATCTCTCAGAGTATTCTGTATTCATGTTCATTAACATTCCAGTGGAATAATAAACCTCAAAACGATTCATGTATGAATCAGTGAGGCATGGCTAATTACAGTTTTTAGCCCCACAGCCAATAACATTCACCATGAAACATGGTGTCTGTTGAATACATCTCTCTGATTTTTTGTTGGGGGAGAGTGGTAGGAAATAGGGAGGTTGCAAATTGCAATTTTAAAATGTCTAAATATTTTAGGGGCTTGTACATTATAAATATCTTTCAGGCAAGTATTTATCACAAGCATGACATCCTGTTATCAAAACAGAAAAAACCCCCCACAGATTTGCCTTAAAAACAAAACTAACTAAAACAGAAACATCACAAGTCCCAAGAATGGACTATGTTCTATCAGGAAACAGAAGAAAATTCTTGGTACGTGAAGAAATACAACTTACTATAAAATTTTAAATTACATCTATATTGAATTTTATAAATGAATTTCCTGCTTCTTATGAAATCATCTTTATATTAATATTATGACTCTCTCTAGTCCACAAACATATTTAAAAGACAAAAATCTGAAAAGCATACAGAGGACACAGTCAATGTTGAATGTCATGGCTGAAATACTCAAATTTAGATTCAGTTTTATAATGCATATTCAAAATATTTTCTATTTCTTTTGTTTAAAATATTTTCCCTTAAATTTAATCCATATTATTGAATCTTCAGAGACTACGTGAATAAAAACACTGATATCTACAATAGAACTTTTTTTTAACTTGCATTCTCTCAATGAGTAATCAATGGAAAAGAGTGTTCGGAATGGTATAAAATAGAATAAAAGATATTTCTATCACTAATGCCATCTCACTCCTCTAACCATTGTTCACAATCATGTGGGACGCTCCCTGAAGTTTTCTACACTTCAGTGCAAGTACAGGTCCACAATCCCCAATAATATTTATTTATCCCATCCATGTTTTGTTGCAGATATATTAATATGTTTGATAACACAGCATTGTCCCAAGCCTGCTCTAGGAGTGTTTTATACTGGATACTATAGGCAAATACTTTTCTGAAAACCAAAAAAATTTATTAGTTTCTAAAACATGTCTGTCTTAAAAGTTTTAGATTAAGTAATTATGGATTTCAATAATTATGTGTGTGTATAACACAGATTCCTGTTATGTTTACACAAATGGATCATGCTACATATACTATCTGGCAGCTGCAGGTATGGGATAGTTTAACATTCTCCCTTAAGACCTTACATGGTCTACAAAGCCCTACGTGAGCTGCCCTCTGGTAACTTCTGACCTCAACTCTCATTCACTGTTCTTCAGCCACATGGGCCTCTGGCTATTCCTCCACCATGTTGAGCTTGTTTGTATCTTAAGGACATTGCACTTAACTATTCCCTTTGTCTGGAACTATCTTCCATAGATTTCCTCATAGGCTAGGCCCCCTACTTCACTGAAATCCTTGTTCGAAAGACAAGGCCTCCTCAAAGAGGCCTTCCCTGATGATCCTATCTAAAAGAAGACCTCCTGTCCCTGTCTAGCCCCTTGTTCTGCTTTTCTTTTGGAGCATTTATCATTACCTAGGATGTAAGTTTGCATATTAGTGTAAGTTCTGTCTTCTTTACTAGAAGTTCCATGAAGTTAGGGAAATATATATGATTTATTATTATTACCTCCCTAGCACCTAGAACAATGCCTGGCATTTAATAGGTGCTTAATTAATGCTTGTTAATTTTTTTCCTTTTGCCTCCAAATTAAACAACTTATCATTATAAAGTTCCCAATTGCTTTTATGGCAAACTAAGGGAGTACAACTACAAAACTGTCACAAGCTGACCTTTGGGACTCTTCTAGCCCCTTCTACCATTGTTCTACTTCCACTTCAGGTTGTAGACTGATAAATCTACCTTGTCTGAGCTCTGGTGCTTGCAATCTACTGTTGCCTCTGCCTGGAACCCTTCTTCTCCCTTACAGTGAGGGAGAATCTACTCAGTCTGGCATTGACTCATATGGGGCATCACATTGATTTGTTTACTTGTCTCTATACTTACAGTATTCACTGTAGTACAACTCCTGGGACAGCATTTTATTCCCTGGTGAATCTCAGCCCCCAGCACAGTGGCTGGCACAGAGCAACCCTCAGTTTATGAAAAACTGAGCTGAATCAAAATTGCATGCTATTCTTCCCTAAGTTTTCTCTGTAGAAATACATTTTTTATTTTTTAGAAAATGATTTTAATGGGTTTTATGTTCTATAATGAGGAAATGCCTTTAAAGCTGCAGTGAAACCAGGACAGTGTGTTTGGAGGCATAATTTCTTGAAAGAGAGTGATGAAAAATCATAGCTTATCTCTGAGCCACCCTAGTGAGATCACAGCTTGGACACCGAGCTTAGTTTTATGCACCTTATGTTCTAGGTAACTGGAAGATGATTGCAAAAGATGGCAGTAAGAAGGATTAAGTGTGATTATTTATGAGGCATAGTTAAAAGGAGACAGCATGCATATGTTCACTAACTATAGGGAATAGACCGATCTGTCCATATCTGATGAACAAATCTACCCAAGGAACACATTCAACCCACAACAACAAAGGGATAAGATGAGAGAACAAAAAGGATGGGTGAAAAATTTAGAAAAATTTTAGCTTATCATAAGGAGGCTTTTACTGGCAACCAGAATTCTCCAGTAGCAGCAGAAAACCTTAAGGATAAAGAGTTGAGAAATTTGTGGAGAGTGGAACATTTGGGTATAGCTGAGTTTCCCAAGTCTATGCTTTGTATTACAAAAACAATGCATTGTTTTACCTTTTTCTAATGTAATATTTTCATATTAGATAGGATTTTTTCCCAAACAAATCCCCCCAAGCTTTGTGTCTAAAAGTATTATGACCTGTAACAAATGGCAGAGATGAATTATGCAGAGGGTTGAACTCTTCGACCTCTAAGGCCTTTCTAGTTTTGAAATTCTGTTTCCATGGTAAAAGATTTCCTTGTAGGTTCTGTGTTCCTGGAGAGGATGTTGTTGGGAGTGTTGGACTAAAGCAGAAGAACAGCATGTAACTACTAGGCTTTCCACATACAAAGATGTTCCCAAGATCTGTGATAAGGGAGGTTATTCTGAGGTTACTTGTGCCTCTTTAATTCATGCCTCAGTTGAGTTTTACAAGTGGTGCAACTTCCCCTGCTTGCTTGTTGTGGTCATAACATAGTCATTTGTTGACTGCATAACTATTGAATGCCTACTGTTGAATAAGCCAAAAACAAAGTTCTTGCCTCAAGGAGCTTACCTTTTGTTTGGAGCAGACAAATGATGGACAGAGGTCAAATAAATGGTGACGGTAATTTCAAGTATAGCTATTGCCAGGAAGAAATGGTATAATGGCATGACCCACATAGGTCTTTCACAAAATTGTCTTCTAGGTCTAAAGGTCACCCAGGACCAGGGATGGTGGCTCATGCCTGTAATTCTAGCACTCTGGGAGGCTAAGGTGGGTGGATTGCTTGAGCTCAGGAGTTCGAGAACAGCCTGAGCAAAAGCGAGATCCCGTCTCTACTAAAAATAGAAAAATCAGCCAGGTGTTGTGGTGTGCCTGTAGTTCCAGCTACTCAGGAAGCTGAGGCAAGAGGACTGCTCAAGCCCAAGAGTTTGAGGTTGCAGTAAGCTATGATGCTAGGGCACTCTACCCAGGGCACAGAGTGAGACTATCTATACATATATACATACACACACACATAAATAAATAAATAAATATGTGTCACCGATATCTTTATGCTACTCTCTCAAAATATCCAAGTGCTTTACTTGTGTTTCTTCAAGATCATGAAATGAAAAATACATTGTCTTCAGTAATATCACTTTACATTTTCTTTTCTCCTTTTCTTGATCTTCTTCCTCCTCATCCTATTGTACCCTAATCCTCCTGAAGCTTTTCCCTTAATTCCTCAAAGAGTTCCTATTCCCCAGTGTAACCGTGGCTTTTGATAGTTTGATTTGTATGTCTTAGGGAGGACTTAGAAAGTATAATCCATCTTTTTTTTTGACAGAGTCTCAGTCCTCAAACTCCTGGGCTCAAGCAGGCCTCTTGCCCCACCCTCTCAAGTAGCTGAGACTACAGGTGTCTGCCACAATGACTAATACTTTATTTTTAGTAGTGACCAGGTCTTAATCTTGCTCAGGCTGGTTTTGAATTTCTGAGCTCAACCAATCTTCCCACCTCAGTCTCCCAGAGTGCTAGGATTATAGGCAGGTGTGAGCCACCAGACCTGGCCAGTACAATCTATCTTAATTGTTCAAGATGAGTGATACTAGGTGGTAGGTGGATGGGGGTTGTTCTGTATGTATATATACAACTTCTGAATTATTCTTATTCTGCTAGTCTCAATGACATGAGAATGAATGAAAGGTGAATCATGAATCATGAATGAAAGGTGAATCAAAGCCACTCTAGCAGATACTATTGGTGCCCTGCCAGTACCCTCTATTCTCTTATGATTTCAGTGCATCCCAGCCTGACTCCTAATGTTAGCACCCGAATCTCTGGCTTTCTCTGGCCACTGTGGAAACTCTGTTCCCTTGTGCAGCATGGCAGACAAGCCAGGAATTTAATAGTCCCTGAAAGCAGCCTCCAATCATAGATTGTTGGGAATTGGTGTTCAAGTAATCCAGTTCTCTTGTCTCACAGGTGAGCTAACTCAATCTAATGCATGTATTCCATATTATGTCCTAGAGACCCTAGATGCCCCTAGTGATAACATGCTAGCTAGGGCACTTGTTTTGTTCTGTTTTCCCTTCCCTTACTCTCTTACTGATATTTCCTACAATTACCTCCTAAATAAACTACTTGCACTTGAATACCTGCCTCAGGATCTGCTTCTCGGAGAACTAAAACTAATGTGGTTGTTATTTCAGTCACATTGCAGATCAGATAGTGACATCCCACTGGTTGTCTCAGCATTTGGAGGTCCTGGGTCCAAGGCAAGTGCTATGTCTTAATGCTTTTTGTGAATATATGCATTGCTCAAGGTCATGGTTAACCTTCAGCCAGCAGTTGGCATCACCCACAGCTGAAGTAATACCTGTATGCTCATATTAGGCTGCCCTACAACGGTGTGATCATTAGATACCATTGTTTAGATACTGAGTACCTTTGTGACATTTGCTTTTTGACTGCTAAGTAGAAGATGTAATGATTACAGGCTGATGTTTTATCAGGAGGAGAGTCCAGTTTTTGAGCTTTGCAGTTTCATATGGTTCTGATTTTTGTCTATGTTTAGTCTGGCTGCTGACACATGTGCTGAAATCTCTCATGCCATTCAGCTTGAGAAAAGCTAGGACTGCTGAGCTAAGTCCATGCTCATAAAAGCTAGAGAGAACTGTTATAGGAAAGAACTCCAAATTGGCAGTGGATTAGGCTAGGAAGCCTGAACAAGGATTTTAATCCCTAGGCACAAAATTAGTCTATACACATATTGATCACATTCCTACTGTTTTAACTGTTTTCAATTTTACCTTATTATTCACAATTCTCTCATAATTTATGTGGCTATGGTGTCTGTGTGATGACCTGTAATCCAATGTCACATTCCCTGAGAGCTGAACTTTTAAGTATATCAGTATTTCACCCCAGGACACTTTGCAGGATACCTTGCTATTCTCTGCAGGGTTCAAACATCGCAAATGATGAGAGTTAAGACTTGGTGCAATCACTTACATGTAATGAATCAGGCCAAGGAAAAAGGAAAAAAGTGTGTGTGTGTGTGGGGGGAATAAAAAAGGAAATTGTTCTAGAGGAAATAGGGAAACATCTGAGTGTATGTCCACATGTAATTGCTCTGTTTCTCCCTTTTCAAATGTAAAAGATGACTGATAAATATCTCTTCTTCCTAGGACTTAGGCCAGGAAGGGAAGGGAAATAAAGGAAAGGGAGCAACTTGACGATGAGGTGAGATGTAGCTAAAAGCAGCAGCATGGTGTAGAGGCAAGGGTTTGAGCAGGGATTCTGGTTCCTGATTAGATGCTGCATAATCTTATGAAAATTCTTTAGCCATGCAATTTGTGATTGTGTTTATTGCAAAATTAAGTTTGCTTTTCATACTCCACTAGACATAGAGCATCTTGAAGTTAGGAACTGGGTCTAAATGGATGATTTCTCCAGCACCCACATAGCATTTGTCACAGACTATACGGAGACGATGATTTTGAATTAAAAGAAAGAGCAAGCACAAGGGACCAATGGTGGTTAGAGGTGGCTTGATTTGATCTGCATCAGAGAAAGGGAGAATAGAAAAGTAACTAGATTTCAGTCAATTATTAAAAAAAAAACAAAAACAAACCACAGTATATCACTACGTGCTAGCCACTCTTCTAAGCGGTAGAAATACTACAGTGACCAAAACCAAAAATTTACATCTGCATGGAGCTTGCATTCTATTGGACTAGTAAGAGGATAAAAAAGATAAGTAAATTTTATACAATGCTTGGCAATGATAAATTTGGTAAGGAGGAAAATAGCATAGAAAAGAAAGAAAGAAAAGGGGAAGAAGAAGTTGTGAAATTTTGTTAGGATGCCAGGGAGGGCTCAGTGAGGTTGGGAATTGGATCAAGTCGGGGACTGTGGAGTCCACATTCTGAGAGATACTTTAGAAAAGGAAGGCTTAAGGAATCAAGAAAGACCCAGAGTGGGGAAAAGAAGTGAAAAGAAATCAGCCAGTGGGGAGTCGTGAGGGGGTAAGTTAACGTGGAAAGAGTCATGTTTCTTTTTCCATTAGGAAAAGTCAAAGATTTATGCGATTCTCACCTCAGTCCCACCCCTCAATCAGAGTTACCGCCTCTGTGGCTCCCGATTGGCCTCGAGTAGGCCGTGCTCTGCGTCTATTGGTCTCCGCTCCTTTCCCCGGACGAGCGGCCATCTTGGGGCCCGCTACCCGGCGCGCGGAGTCTTCTGGGAATTGTAGTCCAAGCTCTTCTGCTCTGTCACGGGATCTATTTTGCTGTTCCCGGATCCCTCAGGAGGCCACGCCAGTGGGCATACGCCCAGGCGGCGCTCCTGCTCCTGGCTTCCTTGCCAACATCTTGGAGGGTAAAGGCAGAAGGTCAAGCCCAGGTGGAAAGTGTTTCTGGGCTTCCACCCCTGTCTGGCCATTCACCAAGTGGGGCCGGGACTGGGCGAGCGCCCTTCCGATAGACGTTCCCTCTCCCCGTCTCTCAAAGTTGGCCCTCAGCTCCCTAGTTCCTAAACACCGGTCGCCGCCCTAGCCCGTCCCTCCTCCACTGCATTTGGGGCCCCGCCGCAGGGGTCCAGGGACGCCCCAGCTCTCGCCCCTGCAGGGATGGCCGGCACTATGGATTTGGGGCGGACTGTCGGTTTCATAGAAAGCGGCAGGAATTTAACCCAGACCAGGTCTGCGTTAAACTCACAGCTCGGGGTTGCCCAAAGCCGGGCTGAACTTGCTCTCAGGATGAGAGCAGAGCAGGGCACAGAGGGCCGTGCTGGGGGGAGGGGGCGGAAAATGCTGCATTTGAGATTTAAAAAGCAAAGGAAAAATCACCGAATTCGTTGTGTTGGGAGGACTCACCAGTACACTGTTGGGAACTCCTTACACCTATTTTACGGTTTGCTGTTTTTAGCTTTAGATTCATAAGAGGGGATTTTAAAGGTATATCTTCATGTGTGGGGGGAAGGAGAGGCAGATTTCGAGCTGAATTTCGAGCTTCCTCGGTAGGTTCAAATTTTGCCTCTGCTGTTACCTTGCAACAGTGATTCACTGCGTTTATCTGAGAAAAAACAAAAACAAGCTTAAGGTTCCCAGATCACGTGACCCAAAGTTCCTGCCTGAAAACGAAATAGAAATTGTCATGTTTATGTTTCATTTGCAAACTTACTTATTCTGGGTCTCTCAGAACTGCGTTGGGACCAGTAGAACATAGCGCCAGGGGTTGTTTTAGAAAGGATCTGGGCCGGATAGCCAAGGACCGTCCTGCCTCCCACCTGTTCAGCTCTGCACACCTGAGCCCGCCTCCCTCGGCTCCATTTTGCCGCCGGCGCCCGGGCTGCAGAGGCTTCTGGGAGTTGTAGTCCCGCCCCCAGTTTCCCGGCGGGCTGGTCCTCCAGCCCGCGGGCCATTTGGCCTGGCGAGATAATCTCTTGGGAGGTGAAGTCTTACTTGCTGCCTTTCTATGGAGCCGCTCCTTGACTAGGAGCTACAACTGCCATGGGGCCTTGACAGGAGGCGGCCAGCCTCTGCGCCGACCTCCTAAGACCTGGGGCTAAAGAGAGATGTTTAATAGAGAAGTCTTGGGTGTGTGGTGTTTTGCTTTTGTTTTCCTTGTGGTTGTTGACTGCGTGTGTTCTTTCAAGAGTTAGACATGGTGTTGTTGTATACTGTGTTCCAAATAGTAAACAAGGAACATGCATGCTTTCAAACACAGCTGACACTGGACAGTTTACAGAGTATGTTCACCTATCTTTTAAAAATATTGTATTTCCCATTTTGTAGCCAAGAAAAAGCTTGATAAATGGTTTGTCCATGGCTATACAACTAGTAATAAAATTTAATATAGGTTCATTAAGAAATATGTCATTATAAATCATCATAAAAGCTGTATGAGAGAGAGAAACATTTTTATATCCATTTCACAGATTAGAATACTAAGGCTGGAGAAGTAATTTGTTCAAGTTAAATCAGCTAATTAATAGAAGTAGTGGGACTGTAACTCCAGCTAACAGTCTGTGCTTAGAAAAAGACCCTGCTTTACAGAGCCAAGAGGGAGTCCAACATTTCCGACTATAGAATTTGGACTCTTTCCATTATACCATGTTGCCTCTTAGTTAGACAATATACATTAGAGCTTCGTAAACCTCTGAGATCATTTAAATCTCAGGCAAAAATCTTGGAACTGTTCCTAGATATAGTAAAGGTCCCACAAATGTTAGCTATATATAGTTTTATAATACCTTTATTGTAGAGATGAAGAAACTGGCCCAGGTGGTAAAGCAGTTTGCTCAAGGTCACGCAGTTGGTTTGTGTCACAAATGAGACTAGAACCAAGTTGTCTTAATTCCAAGTACAGGGTTATTTTCATTCTACCAGCAGTCAGCTAGCAGGAGTACCAGATGTGTAGCTGTTTAGATAATGGTTTTTCACCTAATTTGTCCTTTCTGTGCCACAGACCAGGACCAATTGTTGTAACATCTCTTTTTTATTAGTAGTGAGGTTGTCCTATTTCATTAATTCAAATGTTTAAAAAACATCTTTAGATGTTCATCTTTCTTTTTTAAGTGCCAGGGCCATGTTGATGAAAAGGACCCAATGGGTTAGGGACTGGAAAGATAATAAACTCATCTAACACTTTCATTGTTTAAATGAGGGGAGTAAAGTGCAAGGTGGTTTGCAGTCTTCCTCTCATGCCCTGTGTCAAAAGCATCTTGTTTCTGCAAGATGGGTTTCTGGAGGTCTCTTAGTACTGTCTGTAACCTTTGTAGGCTCATGCTTTTCTCTTTGGTGTCGTCATCCTAGCCTCGGTTCCTGTAAGTGTTTGATGGAATGCTTTAGGAAATGGTTTTGTGTCTCCATCTTTCTTTCCATATACACTCAGCTCTGATATGATCTATTTCTATTTTGGGAATTAGTCTTGATTTGGCTGCCAATACTCTTTTCTCTTTTGTGATTTCAAACACTTGAGAGCAGATTCTGACACTGTTTGCATTCACAGTTGTTAAAATCTAACCCTCGAATATTAAATATCAGAAATGTAATGAGTTGTTTAAATTATACAAAACTTGCATTTTAGAAGATATATTGTTGGTCCTGTCAATTATGTATTCACAGATAATAAAGCAGGTAACTCTCCCCTCTTCTGTGTGAAAGATGATTTCTACATAATTAGATAATAAAGTAACAGTTTTGTAAATTATTGGCTGTAACATTCCTGAAATAGTCACAAGTTAAGTTCTCCCCATCACTCTCTGTGAGCCCTCCTCCCCCCTGCACTCTCGCAATGGACACCTGATTACTCACCTTCCAGCACAGTGCCTGATCTCTAGTAGTCACTGAAAAAGTATTTGTGGAATTGCATTCATGTACACTCCTGAGCCCTGTTTCCACATCTTATCCCTAAATCTCAGTTTTTGCTTTTAATGCAGAAATGCAGCTTTGAAATACAAGATGTAGGAGGTTACTTTCTTTTCAAGATGTACATTGCAGAGAAAAATCTCAGCCTTTGAGGTCATTCTCCAAGGGACTGTCTCTTTGGGAATGTCCATGTCTGTGACTTCTCAGATGAGAAAGCAATCCAAACAGGAAAACATAGCAGAGAAGTGATAGTGTGGTTGTCTGGAGGCCCATGATTTAAATCCCAGCCCTGCCTCTTAGGTTCCTTAGCTCTTGGGATTTTTTTCCTCCTGTAAAATAGGAATAAGAAATATTTCTACCTCACAAAGTGATAATGAAGAAGAAAGTGTATTTAATGCTTTCAGGCTCTTAATCGGTTGCTCCATAGATAAATAGTAGCTCTTGTTTTGTTATTAATGTAAGCTTAATATATGAACATTTGGATTTACTCAAGATTTAAACTTGAGGAAGATATCTATTTTATAAAAGGATCTGCCATTTGTTTTCTTAGGGTAGCAAGCTTGGCCATTGTGTCTAAAATATGAAGTTGCCTGCACTCTTGATAACCCATCTTGTCAGCACAGTGACACTCTCTCACACGGGCAGAGAGATAGTGAGGCTTTTGTCTTGGCGCTGCCTGCTGAGAGGTCCCTGGTCTGTGTTTTCACTATATATTAAATCTCAGATTTAAAAGCGGCCTGTTTCTGTCAGCAGGGCCTTCTTTCCACCTCTAGAAAGAACTGGGCCTATCTCAGGAGCCTAGGAGTTAAAGTGAAGCACTTGTCATCTGGTTGGTGAGTAATTCTGGGGCAGCAACCATGGGGACATGGCAGTGCTTCTTTCTGAAGCTGACAACTTCAATAGCCATGAGGTTACTGATAAGGAAGTGAGTTACTGAAAAGGGAACAGGAAGGAGAATCGGCAATGAGCATCACAGCAAGAGCGGAGGGGGATGGAGGAAGCAAGGACCTCAGTGTCTTCAGCGTTTCTTTATGCAGCTCTTTTCTCTTCTTCCTTACTCTGTGCCAGGCAGTGCACTCTGCAATGGTGAGAATGGTGAGAATGGTGAGAGAGTAGCAGGGATGTGGTGATGGTGGTGAGCAGGGGTATATTCCAGGCAGGGAAGAGCTTGGTTAAGGTGACCAGATTTTAACATTGGTAAAGTGGGACACCATTGATGGGGGGGGGGCTTGACAACAATGCAGACTTTGATAAGCAGTTCTCCATAATCACTTCTCAACTATTATTTTTTATTATTACAGTTTAACATTATAAAATTAACAAAAATAATATAAAACTCATATCCTGGCAAAATAGCCACATGGCAGCCGAAAACCGTATATTCCCTCACTGTTCTCCCTCCTGTTAGTGCATTCTTTCCAAATATCAGGACTTTTTTAAAACACCACAGGCCGCGGGACAAATTGTTAAAAATCAGGACTGACCCGCCAAAAGTGGGACCTCTGGTCACCCTAAGCTTGGTAGAAGGAAGGAATGAAGGAAGGAAGGCAGGCAGGGAGGAGGGGAGGGGATGCTGGAATGTGGTGAGCAGAAAGAAGGTCTTTATGCTTGGGGTCTGAAAAATCAATGACTAGTAGAAGCAGGGAGGTGAGGCCGCAGAGGGAGGCTCGGTGATATGATACAGAGCCCAGTTACCAGCATTTTAAGAGTTTTGGACTTTATTCCAAGGGCATCTGGGGAATCAGAACAGTCTTAAGTGAGGAAATGAAATGATCAGATTTGTTTAAAAATTATGGATGCATAAAAATGTTTTATATTCTTGAAAATTATTAGGAGGAGATTTTAAGTGTTCTCATAACAAATGGTGAGTTAATGCATATGTTAATTAGCTTGATTTAGCCATTCCACAATATATACATATTTCAAATCATATTATACACCATAAATATATACATTTTGTCAATTAAAGGAATCATTTGGATGGAACCGGAAAATATTCTTCTTAGCAAAGTATCTCAAGAATGGAAGAAAAAATATTCAATGTACTCAGTCCTACTCTGAAACAAATTTATAGCTTTGATAGGAAAATTATAACCCAATTTTAGCCCAAGAATATGGGGAAAGGGGAGAGGGAGGGAAGGGGAGGGGGGAGGAGGGGTGGAGGGAGAGTGATTGGTGGGATTACACCTATGGTTTATCTTATAAGGGTACATGTGAATCTCTCTAAATGTAGAATATAAATGTCTTAACACAATAACTAAGAAAATGACATAAAGGCTATGTTAACCAGTTGGATAAAAGTATTTCAAATTGTATATAAGCAACAGCACTCTGTACCCCATGATAGCATTAATGTACACAGATATGATTTATTTAAAAAAAAGTGTGGTTGCAGTACAGATAATGACTTTATCCGATGGAATAGTTGCCGTGAAACCAGGTAGGTTTATGGGTCTTTAATGCACATATCTCCTGTTGATCATAAAGTATGGATTCTGATTCAATAAGACCTGGAATGGATCAGAGATTCAGTTTTCCCAATAGGCTGCCGCTGGTCCATGGGACTATCCTTTGAGTAGCAAGTACTTAGGAGACTCTTTGGTGGTCTAGGTGAAAGATGATCTGAGATTAAGAGAATAAATTCTAGAAAGGAAAAGACCTGGATTTTAAACCTAGTCCTGCCACTTACTATGTTTGTGATTCTGGAAAAGTGTCCTAATCTCTCTGAGCCTCAATTTCCTCATCTGTGAAATGGGGACAATAAGTTCTATTGCAAAATGGTGTTTTCAGTGAGATAGGTAACCCATTGAAAGTGCTTAATACAGGAAGTGGCACTTTTAAATGGTAGCTTTAGATTTTACTATAATTTTTAACAAAAAATCACAACTTGATGCATCCTGTTCCATATTTCCTTGTTTATTGTATTTTGAATGTGAAGTAGTATGTATTACCTTTGATTCTACTGTTTTTGTTTACTACTCACATATGATGTTTGGAACTTCTT